CCTCAGCATACTTCGAACCCGAAGCGACGTCGCGCTTACATGATTGAAAGTGACTCTGATTGACTGTTTTGTTTTATATACTGTTATGCGCTTTTGTTTTATATATTGTTATACATAGTTATGCGCTTAAAAATTACCCGGACACGAACAAGTAAGTGCTTTGTACAAACAATTTGTTTTGTTTTGTTTTGCCTAGTTTATGCATGCATTTTGATTTTTGACGTGTAGCTAATATATTTGTTCTTTGTTTATTAATAAATGTCAAGTTCAAATTTGATTGTCTCGAATACTTTTATGCATATTATTAACAAGTAATAGCATGGTTTCTCGTGCAATTTGGATAAACATGCACTCGTGAGTTTTTCCAAGACCTCAAATAGCACTCGTCCTTCGGACTCGTGCTATTTTGAGGTCTTTGAAAAACTCACTCGTGCATGTTATATCCAAATTGCACTCGAAACCATGCTATTACCTATACTAATAATATTGTTAAAATAATAACTTAGTCATAATACTGTTTAAAAAGATGTGTCTTTAATCTGGTTTTTTAAAATATAGGCAAGGTCTCACTCTTTCTAATATACTCTGGCAGTTCGTTCCACAGTTTAGGTGCAGCATATGAGAACGATTGTTCACCATAGTTCACTAATTTGACTGAGGTTATGGCAAGCAATCCTTTGGATGAAGAGTGTAAATTTGATGGTGGTGTGTAAGGTTTTACCATATTATTAATGTAATGTGGAGCTGAGCCATTCAGAGATTTATACGTAATAAGAACAATTTTATAGATGATGCGTTGACTGATGGGGAAATTGTTATTGTAATATTATCGTATTTTTTGCTTCCTGTCACCAGTCGAGCAGCACAGTTTAGCACATTCTGTAACCGATCAATAAGAAATTTAGGCAATCCGTATAATAAAGAATTACAATTATCCAGTTTCGATGTAATAAAGGCATGAACTAAAGTTTGGATATCTGACGCTGATAATTACTCTTTTATTCTTGCTATTTTTCTCAAATGTAAAAACAGTTCTTCCAAATATTGGTAACATGTTTATCCATAGACTTTCCCTTAAACATAAAATTTTAAAAAAGTACTTTAAGTGCCAAGTTTAAAGACACTTCCTAAGCTTATTTCGGTCAAAATTGTTTTTATCAAAGTTGTAATAAACAAATTGTTTTTCAGCAACTAAAATTTGTATTTTTCTGTCAAAAAGTATTTTTTAAGCATGTCCATGCTGTAAAACAAAACGGAAGATAAATATTTTTACTTAGTTTACCTTCTGTTTTCCTGTTCAGTAGAAAAGCATCTATTGCAATGAAACTAAAAGCAATTTATCCTACATTTATCGCGTGATTTTCGCAGTTTCACAGCCATGCTTGAACTAAAGTAACAAACGCAAACGATCTTTGTCTAAAAAGCTATCTTCCTCGACTTTAATCTCGACTTAAAGTAGTAGTTAATTTTTTGTCTAAATAGGTATGTAATTGTATTTGTTATGTATGTAATGTTAGAGCTAGTATATAAATAATAATTTGTAAGTACACATCCCTTTTGGAAATCAGCTTTTGCTGAAAAGGCCAATGTGTTTAAATAAAGTTGATCTATCTATCTATCTACTTACAACAACTGGAATTTTATCGGTATTCATTATAACCGTGAACTATGAAATAAAAAAAGGAACACGTTATTTACCGTTTAGTTCTTTCCGTACTAAAAAAATTTTCCCTTCGCCTCAGAAGCGTCTCACGGACTTCGGCCTCGGGCCGCTTTTGAGACCTCGGGAAAATATTTTTTTGTACCGACCTCGCAGTCGGTAAATAAAATATATTTATTTTGTTTCCGCACTAGTGTGAAATATGTTAACAAAACTCAAAATAACAGTAACTCCGAACAACATTTTGGTTTTTAATCAACGTTTCGACTGGTTTGTAGTCATCCTCAGGATTAAGAATTGCACCAATATATTCAACGGCCTCACGAAATAATTTTAAAATTTTCTGTTAGGAGTGGGATTTGAACCCGAACCCACGCCCACATCAGTGGACCAGAACGCCCTTTGGCGGCGCATTAGCAGAGCAAGTTTGGAAACTTGAGTCTGGCGCCTTTGACCGCTCGGCCATCCTGACAGCTGACAACCTTTGTGCCTAATGTAGTTCACATCATTTTACTTTCTTAAATATTGGAGATAAAATATTTCATTTAAACCAGAAAAATACTTCCGACTGCAACTAAATGAACAATCGTTTCTTACAACGCACGTCAGTGCTCCTTCTATTGCTTCAAGAGAAGAATCAAAATTGGCTTCTGCGGGAGGATAAATTGAATGAATTTTCAGTTAATTTTGAACGTTGGAACTGGAGAAGTTTGCAAAGGATTCCGAGCAAGCGCTTGTTTCTGTAGTGTAGCGGTCATTACATGCGCATTGCGCGCGCAAGGTTCCCTGTTCGATCCTGGAAAAAAGCTGTATTTGACGTTTTATTTACAGAAAATGAGAAGAGCAAATTTCAGCAACGCACTGAACTCGTGCTTCACCAGACAAGTTTCTGTAGTGTAGTGGTCATCGCGTACGCTTCACACGCGCAAGCTCCCCAGTTCGAACCTGGGCGGAAACATAGTAAATGTGTTGAGAAATCCGGCTGTTTATTATCAAATTTGAACTTGCGTACATCATCGGTTGTGAAAAGGTAAACCAATTTTTAAAGACCGTTAATTTGTGACGCGCGATACGGGTTGCACAATCAACTTTTCTTTCTATTGCTTCCATTTGCACAGTTTTTGCGATCCAAGAGAGAAGAACTTGCGCATTATTTATTACCTGTTCTAGCGTAATCTTCCCTAAAAACTGTTTCATGCTAAACACTGATTAATGCATTGACCGGCAGTCGACATCTGCCCTACCGGCCAATATTTAACGAAGCAATAAATATATCTGCTGTTTCCCACGATTGATCTCAAGATTGAGTGATGGGGAGAACGCAAGATTCACTGTCAATGTGCTGCTTCAAACTGACACCACGAAGATATTTCTTAGCTGATTACCATTTAATTATTTAAAAATTAATTGGATCGACACACCGATTTTCCCTGATATATCAAGTAGTTTTCTCCCAGGTAAAACTTCCCCATCTGGGAATGAATTAGCCATTGGCGAACATTTATCGGCATGCAAGTTTTCGTAGTGTAGTGGTCATCACGTGCGCCTAACACGCGCAAGGTCCCCAGTTCGATCCTGGGCGGAGACAATGGATTGATGGAAAACGTACAACTTGCCCTTATTAAACATAAATTTTCAAAAAAGTACTTTAAATGCAAGGTTTAAAGGCACTTCCTAAGCTTATTTCGCTCAAAATTGTTTTTATAAAAGTTGTAATGAACAAATTGTTTTTCGGCAACTAAAATTTGTGTTTTTCTGTCAAAAATAATTTTTCGAGCATGTCCATGATGTAAAACAAACCGGAAGATAAATATTTTTACTAAGTTTACCTTCTGTTTTCTTGTTCAGTAGAAAAGCATCTATTGCAATGAAACTTAAAGCCATTTATCCAACTTTTATCTCGTCATTTTAGCAGTTTCACAGCCATGCTTGCACTAAAGTAACAAACGCAACCGATCTCAAATGTACTTACAACAACTAGAATTTAATCGGTATCATTATAACCGTGAACTATCAAATAAAAAAATGAACACGTTATTTACCGTTTACATATTTCCGTAATAACAAAAATTTTCCTCGGCCACAGAAGCGTCTCACCAACCTGGTTCCCAGGCTTTTCCCTTTACAAAAAGGAAAAAGCCCTAGGAAGGAACTTGGCGTCTCACGGCCTTCGGCCTCGGGCTGTTTTTGAGAACTCGGGAAAATATTTTTTAGTACGGACCTCGCAGTCGGTAAATAACATATATTCATTTTGTTTCCGCGCTAGTGTGAAATATGTTTACAAAACACAAAATAGCAGTAACTCCGAACAACATTTTGGTTTTTAATCAACGTTTCGACTGGTTTGTAGTCATCCTCAGAATTAAGAATTGCACCAATATATTCAACGGCCTCACGAAAAAAATTTAAAATTTTCTGTCAGGAGTGGGATTCGAACCCACGCCCACATTAGTGGACCAGAACGCCCTTTGGCTGCGCATTAGCGGAGCAAGTTTGGAAACTTGAGTCTGGCGCCTTTGACCGCTCGGCCATCCTGACAGCTGACAACTTTCGTGCCTACTGTACTTTACATCATTTTATTTTCTTAAAAAATGGAGATAAAATATTTCATTTAGCCAGAAAAATACATTCGACTGCAACGAAATCAACAATCGTTTCTTACAACGCACGTCAGTGCTCCTTCTATTGCTTCAAGAGAAGAATCAAAATTGGCTTCTGCGGGACGATCAATTGAATGAATTTTCGGGTAATTTTGAAAGTTTGAAACTGGAGAAGTTTGCAAAGGATTCCGAGCAAGCACTTGTTTCTGTAATGTAGCTGTCATTACATGCACATTACGCGCGCAATGTCCCCTGTTCGATCCTGGAAAGAAGCTGCATTTGGTGTTTTATTTATAGAAAATGAAAAAAGCAAATTTCAGCAACGGACAGAACTCGTGCTTCATCAACCAAGTTACTGTAGTGTAGTGGTCATCACGTGGGCTTCACGCGCGCAAGTTCCCAGGGGCGGATCTAGGGGTCGTCAAACCAGTCACGCGACTAACGTAAAAATTACAAACTTAATTAAAGTCTGATTAAGGCATTAAATATTCGACCAATAGTCCAGTTATTTTTTATCATGCAGTGGCACTTTATAATAGTCCAGTATCTATTATCATGCAGCGCTAGCAATTAACATTCCAATTGAACTGTAGTCCAGTGATCAAATTTCATACAGTGGCTGAGCCGACGAGCTTAGTCAAGTCAATGAGCAGCTGACATACGCAAAGTCGGTCAGTCAAAAAGTCAAAATCCAGTGTTCTGATTGGTCTAGACGCTTATTGCCATGGAAACAAGCGATTTTTTGCGATTTTGACTGATCTGTGGGGAGTTCTGACCGATTTACAAAAGTCAGGGGCGCTCCATTAGTCGGAATATCATTAATATTTGACGCGTGGTAAAGTCTTTCCGAGCGCGCGCTCATTCGAAGTGTCATGTTGTAGCTTTGTCGGAAGATTCAATTTAAAGATATCTACGGAAAATTCGGAAATGTCTGCTGCTCCAGACAACAGTCCTTGTAGTATTCACGAAACGGTTCAATCCGCATTTGCGGTGAATGATTTAGCTATCTTACAAGACTGTTGCGCTGATCTTGGGAGGAAAATCAACGCTAAATATCGGAGAGTTCCATTCAGTGATTCAGTGAGCAGTTGCTAGGCGCTATGAGTAGCAAGAACTACAGTTTGACTGTTTGAGCAGAAGTATTGGCGCCAAGATCTTTATTCTGAAGTGCAATATGGTAAATTTAATGTGATGTGTAAATGTTATTTCCTTTTAGACAGCATAACAATATTTATAAGCGAACAAGATGCACGCCACGCATATGTAAATACGCGTATCTTGATTTAGTCATGAATTTTGATTTACACAACAAATTTGCATATTTGTGCGGTTGAATGACCGTCAGAACTCAGGAGGCTATTAATATTGAGGATAACCGATATAAATGCATTAATGCAGCATACATAGGATCTAAAGGTCAGGTTTTATTGATGAATGTTCAAACTTTAATACTGATGTATGTTTATTTGAGTAATATGACACTGTGGTGATTACTAGTCAAGTGATCAATGACTTGGCAATTAGGCAACATAAATGAGTGTAATACCATCATGAGTTAGTTAAACATAATACTAGCAATCCGTAATTTGATAAAATGAAACATCTTCCACACTTATCACATTTCTGCAAGTATTTTCTTTTAAATTTCCCTAAGGAGCGAGTTGTGAGAGTCAGTGAGACTGATAATTGCTATAATTATCTCCCAATTCATGAAGTTAATTTTTTGTTGAAGCGTTTCTGAGGTTCAAATATAAAAAATTTCCTAGGGTCAGACACCCTGGGGGACAGACCGCCCCCCCCCCCTAGGTGCCTCGCGCATTCACCGCCCGCAAAACTAGATTGTACATCTGAAAACTTTGACTAACGTACGAAAAATCCTGGATCCGCCCCTGCTGAAGTTCCCCAGTTCGAACCTGGGCGGAAACATAGTAAATGTATTGCGAAGCCAGGCAGTTTGTTATCAAATTTTAACTTGCGTACATCATCGATTGTGAAAAGGTAAACCAATTTTTAAAGACCGTTAATTTGTGACGCGCGATACGGGTTGCAGAATCAACTTTTCCTTCTATTGCTTCCATTTCCCCGTTTTCGCGATCGAAGAGAGAAGAACTTGCGCATTTTTTATTACCTGTTCCAGCGTAATCTTCCCTAAAATCTGTTTCATGCTAAACACTGATTAATGCATTGACCGGCAGTCGAGATCTGCCGTACCGCCAAATATTAAACAAAGCAATAAATATGACAGCTGTTTCCCATGATTGATCTCAAGATTGAGTGATGGGGAGAACGCGACATTCGCTGTCAATGTGCTGCTTCAAACTGACACCACGAAGAATTTTTTTAGCTGATTAGCATTTAATTATTTAAAAATTAATTGGGTCGACACAGCGATTTTCCCTGATATATCAAGTAGTTTTCTACCAGGTAAAACTTCCACATCTGGGAATGAATTAGCCATTGGCGAACATTTATCGGCATGCAGGTTTCCGTAGTGTAGTGGTCATCACGTGCGTCTAACTCACGCAAGGTCCCAAGTTCGATACTGGGCGGAAACAATGGATTGATAGAAAACGTACAACTTGGCCTTAAACATAATTTTTTTAAAAAAGTACTTAAAATGCCAAGTTTAAAGACACTTCCTAGGGTTATATAGGTCAAAATTTTTATAAAAGTTGTATTGAACAAATTGTTTTTCGGCAACTAAAATTTGTATTTCTCTGTCCAAAAGCATTATTCAACCATGTCCATGAGGTAAAACAATCCGGAAGATAACTATTTTTACTTAGTTTACCTTCTGTTTCCTTGTTGAATTGAAAAGCATCTATTGCAATGAAACTAAAAGCTTTTTATGCAACTTTTATCGCGTCGTTTTAGCAGTTTCTCAGCCATGCTTGCACTAAAATAACAAACGCACCTGATCTCAAATGTACTTACAACAACTGGAATTTTATCGGTATTCATTATAACCGTGAACTATCAAATAAGAAAATGCACACGTTATTTACCGTTTAGTCCTTCCGTACTAAAAAATATTTTCGCTCGGCCTCAGAAGCGTCTCATGGTCATCGGCCTCGGGCCGCTTTTGAGACCTCGTGGAAAATATTTTCATAGTACAGACCTCGCAGTCGGTAAATAACATATATTTATTTTGTTTCCGCACTAGCGTGAAATATGTCAACAAAACACAAAACAACAGTAACTCCGAACAACATTTTGTTTTTTAATCATCGTTTCGACTGGTTTATAATCATCCTCAGGATTAAGAGTTGCACCAATACATTCAACGGCCTTTCTGTCAGGAGTGGGATTCGAACCCACGCCAACATCAGTGGACCAAAACGACCTTTGGTTGCGCATTAGCGAAGCAAGACTGGAAACTTGAGTCTGGCGCCTTAGTCCGCTCGGCCATCCTGACAGCTGACAATCGTTGCGCCTACTGTAATTTACATCATTTCACTTTCTTAAATGATGGAGAAAAAATATTTCATTTAATTAAACCAGAAAAATACGTCCGACTGCAATTAACTCAACAATCGTTTCTTACATCGCACGTCAGTGATCCTTCTATTGCTTCAAGAGAAGAATCAAAATTGGCTTTTGCGGGAGGATCAAACGATTGAATTTTCAGTCAATTTTAAACGTTTGAAACAGGGGAAGTTTGCAAATGGTTCCGACCATGCGCTTGTTTCTGTCGTGTAGCGGTCATTGCATGTGCATTACGCTCGCAAGGTCCCCTTTTCGATCCTGGGCAGAAGCTGCACTTGGTGTTTCGAGCAAAATTCCGCAACCGGACGGAACTCGTGCTTCACCGGGCAAGTATTTTTTGTGTAGTAGTTATCCCGCGCGCTTCACACGCGCGTGTTCCCCGGTTCGAACCTGGGCGGAAGCATGCATTTGGTGTTTTATTTACAGAAAATCAAAAGAGCAAATTTCAGCAACGCACTGAACTCGTGCTTCACCAGCCAAGTTTCTGTAGTGTAGTGTAGTGGTCATTACGTGCGCTTCATACGCGCAAGGTCCCCAGTTCGACCCTGGGCGGCAACATAGTAAATGTGGTGCGAAGCCAGGCTGCTTGTTATCAAATTTTGACTTGCCTACATGATCGATTGTGAAAAGGTAAACCAATTTTTATAGACCGTTAATTTGTGACGCGCGATTCAGGTTGCACAATCAACTTTCCCTTCTATTGCTTCCATTTCCCCCATCGAAGAGAGAAAAACTTGCGCATTATTTATTACCTGTTCTAGCGTAATTTTCCCTAAAATCTGTTTCATGCTAAACACTGATTAATGCATTGACCAGCAGTCTAGATCTGCCCTACCGCCCAATATTTAACGAAGCAATAAATATGACTGCTGTTTCCATCAAGTAGTTTTCTCCCAGGTATAACAACCAAATCTTGGAATGAATTAGCCATTGGCGAACATTTATCGGCATTCAGGTTTCCGTAGTGTAGTGGTCATGCGCAAGGTCCCCAGTTCGCTCCTGGGCGGAAACAATGGATTGATGGAAAACGTACAACTTGTCCTTAAACATAAAATTTTTAAAAAGTACTTTAAATGCCAAGTTTAAAGACACATCCTAGGCTTATTTCGGTCAAAATCATTTTTATAAAAGATGTAATGAACAAATTGGTTTTCGTCAACTAAAATTTGTATTTTTCTGTCAAAAAGTATTTTTCAAGCATGTCCATGATGTAAAACAAACCGGAAGATAAATATTTTACTTAGTTTACCTTCTGTTTTCTTGTTCAGTAGAAAAGCATATATTGCAGTGAAACTGAAAGCCATTTATCCAACTTTTATCGCGTCATTTTAGCAGTTTCACATGCTTGCACCAAAGTAACAAACGCAACTTATCTCAGATGTACTTACAACAACTGGAATTTTATCGGTATTCATTATAACCGTGAACTATCAAATAGAAAAATGAACACGCTCTTTACCGTTTAGTTCTTTCCGTACTAAAAAAAGTTTTCCCTCGGCCTCAGAAGCGTCTCACGCCCTTCGCCCTTGGGCCAATTTTGAGACCTCGGGAAAATATTTTTTTTAGGACGGACCTCGCAGCCGGTAAATAGCACATATTTATTTTGTTTCCGCACTAGTGTGACACTATGTTACTTGACAAAACTCAAAATAACAGTATCTCCGAACAACATTTTAGTTTTTAATCAACGTTTCGACTGGTTTGTAGTCATCCACAGGATTAAGAATTGCGCCAATATATTCAACGGCTTCACGAAATAATTTTAAAATTTTCTGTCAGGTGTGGGATTCGAACCCACGCCCACATTAGTGGACCAGAACGCCGTTTGGCTGCGCATTAGCGAAGGAAGTTTGGAAACTTGAGTATGGCGCCGTTGACCGCTCGCCCATCCTGCCAGCTGACAACCTTTGTGCCTACTCTACTTTACATCATTTTACTTTCTTAAATAATGGAGAAAAAATATTTCATTTAAACCAGTAAAATACATCAGACTGCAATTAACTCAACAATCGTTTCTTACATCGCACGTCAATGCTCCTTTCATTGCTTCAAGAGAAGAATCAAAATTGGATTGTGCGGGAGGATCAAATGAATGAATTTGCAATTAATTTTGAACGTTTGAAACTGGGGAAGTTTGCAAAGGATTCCGAACATGCGCTTGTTTCTGTAGTGTAGCGGTCATTACATGCGCATTACGCGCGGAAGGTCCCCTTTTCGATCCTGGGCAGAAGCTGCATTTGGTGTTTTGAGCAAAATTCCGCAACCGGGCAGAGCTAGGCCTGCTCTGGGACCTTAACTCGCCGCGAGATAAGGCGAGCCTATGCGAGTTAAGGCGAGATAGGGCGAGTTAAGGAAAAATCTGGCTACTGACCCTTGCGAGTTAAGGCGAGATAAGGCGAGTTAAGGAAAAATCTGGATATTGTATACACACTATGTATTTTGCTTTGTTTGTGTATTATGCAAATCAAGTATGCAGTACTTGAAGTAGCAAGCCTAGAAAAGTGTTTTATTCTATATTCTACAATACGTACATGATATGCACAAGAACTCGGGACCTAGAAACAAGTTGATTCAAAACGAGGCTGGTAGCCAGATGCCAAATTGTATAATTTGAGGCATTATGCA